AAGAGAAACCCGTTGTTGCATCTAGATGGCCGCTTGCAAGATTTTAAGATCCCAGTCACCACTGGCCAAAGTAGGAGGTGGAACAATGTTTTGTGTATTGTGTTATGCCAATTGAGCTTGATGTCCCCTGCGACTATGGGCCCAAGTCTGGCACAGCTGCTTGCTGACTCTCACCTTCTCTGATGTTACAGCTCTCTCTCTCTCTCTCCCTCTCTCCCTCTCTCTCTCTCTCTCTCTTTCTCTCTTTCTCTCTATCTATGTGTATGTGTGTGTGTATGTCTCCTGCATCTAGGAGGTTCTCAACAAGGGTTGCTGGATCCAAAGCATGTGCTCTACTCCTACCTCTTCTCTCTTGGTGGTAATGAGGTTCCCCCTTCCTGCCTCTGGGATGGCTTATTTTAAGCCTAGCAGAATGGCAAAACTGACCAATCCCCTTGGTAGGGTTCTCCTCATTTGCATGGTTCACCCCCACAAGGATGCCATGTAACTTATTTGCATTATTAGCAAGCTGTCCAATCCTCTTAGTGTACCACAAGTACCTCATTTGCATAGTCCCACCTCATCATTTGGTGGAAGTTTCAAGACCATGGCTAGAAAGGCCATATAAAAGTAATCCATTACATTATACAATCCAATGTTCTTTCCTTTTTTATTACAATAGTTCAAGACAGTTGTGAACTCAAGACAAACATACATGAAGAAATAAAGAACAATTTTAAAAAATAGTAGAAGTCAAGTCACAAGACAATAAAAGTGCTAAGTAACTAATATAGACAATAAGTACTGTAGGAGTGACCAAGAAGATCACTGTGGGTAAGAGTTAGTAGAGAAGCCCTTAAATAGGAAGTGGAACTTAAGTCTCTGGCCTTGGAAACTTAGGTAGCAACAGGAAAGTGGAAGAAGAGAAGGAGGGCATTCTAGTGTGGGGTACAAGAAAAATAAAGATGCAGAGGTGAGAAATTGCAAAGCTTGTTTGGAAAGAGAATGTGGAGAGAAACTTGAGAAGAGAGATTTGTATGGGGGGAATAGGAAATAAAACTGAAAAAATGCATCTTTTGAATTTCTGAGTAAAGAAGTTGGACTTGTTGCTGTGGTTAAGCATTGGGCTGCTAACCAACAGGTAAGCAGTTTGAACCCATGAGAGGAAGATGAAGCAATCTACTTTTGTAAAAACTTACAGCCTTGGAAACCCAATGCAGTTCACTATGAGTTGGAATCAACTTAATGGCAATGGGTTTGGTTTTTCTTTTTCTTTTTTTTTTGGTTTTTATAGACAATGGGGAAGCATGAAAGGATTTTGAGTAAGAGAGAGTGAAATTGTGAAAGCCATGTTTAGAAGGATTCATCTGGCAATATACATTGTATAGGATGCATTCATGTGGGGAGAGATTGAAGGTAAAGAAACCTATTAGGAGACTGTGACAATCTGGTTGCACTTCTTCCAGGACAAAATAGATTTAGATAGATAAGAATAGCAGTAAGATTCCAATTGGAGAACGATATGAACAGATAGTTTACACAGAAGAAATAAAAATAGTAAACATTAGAAAATTCAATCCCATAAATAATCAAAGAAATGAAATTAATAAAATAATTTTTAAACCATAAATTATATTTATTATATAATTCAGTGCTAGAACTGAAAGGAAACTGAAACACTTATGTATCATATGGCATTAAAAATTTGTACAGTCCTTTTGGAAATAAAGACTGATAAAAGCATTCATGCTCTTTAATCTGATAATCCCACTCCTGGAAACTTCCTAGGGACAAAATTACAAAGAAGTAAAAGCCATAAATGTTAAGATGTTCAAGGAACAGAAAAAGTGGGAGTTACCTGGGTGTTTAATAATAGAAGAATAGTCAGATTATAATCTCTTGATGGATATAATTTTATATGGTCATTAAAACTATAAATATAAAGACTATAGCAACAAGGAAAATATTTGCATAAAAAGTTTTCAAAAGCAGAATTTTAAAAGATATATACAGTATGATTACACTCGTATATGTATATCTATCCAAACTGACAAAGCATGGAACATGGAAAAATGAAAATAAAGTCTAGAGTTTTGAAATATAGAATATTTTCCTTCAAAATTTTCTTTTATGCTGTCATAGTGGGGCATTTGACTGCTAACTAGAAGGCTGGTGATTCAAACCCACCAGCCACTCCTCAGAAGGAAGACTGGGCAATGTCCTTCCATAGAGATACCGCCTCGGAAACCCAAGAAGGGGTTGCTATGAGTCAGATTCAACTCAATGGCAGTGAGTTTGGTTTTGTTTTCTAGATAGATCCAGAAAAACTGTAGGAAAGTAAAAGCCAGATTCAGGGAGGTAAGGGGTGATTTTTTTTATTATTATTATTACTGTGATTTGGGTGAAGATTTACAGAGCAAATTCACTTTTCATACAGCAGTTCACAAATACATTGTCTCATGTCATTGACCACAGTTTACCACAGTGCCACAGCTCCCCTACCACTCCCTCCCCATGGTTACCTCTTCCCAGTGTCCATCCCTCTATACACTCCTGCCCCCTGAGCTGTCTCCCTGTGCATAAGCAGCGGTAAGGGGTGATTTTGTGGTGAGGGAATGAGATTTATTGAAGTCTTTCTAGAAATTTGGCAGTGAAGTGAATAAGATGAATAGAATGGTAATGAAAAGAGACAGCAGGGTCAAAATATCAGTGCTAATGCTTTGTTTTTTCTGTGCATGTGCGTGTGTGTGTGTGCTAAAATGGGGTGAAATCAGTGATGTGAGAGACTGAAAATAATGAAGAAAGACAAAGGGAGCATTAAAGAGAATCATTCCTTATCCTGGGAATATAGGGAAGAAAGGGTGATAGACAAGATGGACCTGGAAGTAGAGTTATCTTGAAGTGAAGCAGGGAGAAGTTGAGGTATTAGATATTCTGAGCTTTGTAGCAGGCAAAGTACCTCTTCAGAGACCATAAGTAGGATGAACTTCTGTGCCTTTGAATCCCTCTTTTCATTCCTTTAAATGTTCCCCTCTTCCTAGATATCCTGGACCTGTCTGCTACCCAGAGACCTTTCTGTTAGGAGTAAATGAATTAGTGTGTTAGTGTCCCATGTATGGATACTCCCACTCCCAAAAGAACATAAGTGGTAAGATGGTGCTAATGATGGGGGAGTGAATGGTTAGGAAACTCTGAGGGGGAGCCATTCCAGTCTCAGATCTCAGCCCTAGCTTTGAAGTCCTAAAGCCTGATCTAAAAGGATTGGTGACAGATTTATCATTTATCTAGGGCAAGAGCTAGAGAAGGGGGAGATATCAGTGAAGAACCAGCTCTGGGCGTCAACTCCTGGCACTACCACATCCTCTTAACAAGCCTACTCTATCTCTCTGTGCAGGAATTTGCAGTCATAGATATGAAAGATCCTCCCTCTCAGATTGAGCCATCATTCTTCCTTTCACTAATTACAAAAGAGCTGTCAAATATGCTCTCGGCAAATATCATAAAGGAGGTGCAATCCCATTCCTGTTCCAGAGGCCATTATCAACTTGGACCCTGGCCTCTCAGGATACCCACCTCATGGTAGGGCTCAGGTTCCAGGTCATCAGTTGTATGCAGGGACCCTGGCATGCAGACTCTCTGGGACCATGCCCTATTTCAGCACCCCAGTAGGGGGAACCAGGAAATGGGTGTGGGTATCATATATGTCACATCCGTGGCATCTGTGATATGCTGATGCCCCCACTTATTGATTCTGGCTGTCACCATCAGATACGTTAGCTCAATCCTGAGATTATTCCACCTTCTCCACCTCTCTGGTTGAATGCCTTGGTCTGGCTGATCAAAATGCATTTTATATAAGGATATGACCAGAAAAGGAACGAAGAAGGATTACTGAGGGAAATTTCCAGGAAGCCTTTAGGATCAAGAAACAGGACCGATGGCCCCAGGAAGGAGACATGAACAAAGAGAAAGAAATGGGGTAGAACAGGTGACTGCTACTGCCTTTGGCTAGAAAGAAGCAGGTAACTGAAGGATATAGGAGAGATGGGTGTCACAAATGATTCTCTACCTCCCCCTAAGACTCAAAGTGAGGGCCTTTCTCCAGAACTTGGAAAAGAGGAGGAAGCAGCCTTATCAGGTGCCACTGGTAGACTCCCTCACCTCTGTCCTGCACTCACCCCCTTTTCTCTCACTTCCTGTCTTCCAGTGTTACAATTTATCTTCCCTAGGAGTAGGGCAGACACTGTTCTGGGAGATTGCTCCCCACATGCATCAGCTATCCTCAGGCATGGAGATAAGTGCCAGTGAGGAGGCAGCTGTGGGAGGCTGGGCCGCCCTACTACTGCAGAGCTGCTGGAGCTGACGTCGATACTTGTCGCCAGTAAGCAGGTAGAGCACAGGATCCAGGCAGCTGTTGGCACTGGCCAGGGGCCGAGTCACTTTGTAGACCACGTTGACAATGTTCAATACCTGGCAGTCAACTTCCAACAGCCTTGCCATGTAATAAATGGTGCGGGTGATATGGAAAGGTACGAAGCAGAGAGCAAACACAGTCAGCACCACAGCGATGGTACGAAGAGAACGGAGACGAGAAGATGACTGGGTAGCTCCTGGCAGGGGCTGAAACAGGCGCCGAGCCATGAGTCCATAGCAGACCAGAGTGACCAAGCAGGGCACGCCAAAGAGCAACCCCATGATTACCGAGCTAAAGTGCACATAATGGTCAAACTCCTCAGGCCGAGTGGTGTCATGACACAGGATGGTGGCTCCTTTGGTGCTGGTTGTGACAAAGAACAGGTTAGGCAGGAGGCAGCCAGCTACAACCAACCAAACTGTCAGGCAGAGAAGGCCCGCAAAGTGTGGGCGGCCCCAGCGTAGTGCCCGCAGTGGATGGCAAATACCCAGATAGCGATGCACACTGATGCAGGTGAGGAAAAGGACACTACAGTATAGATTCCAATAGAAGAGAAAACGGACAAACTTGCAGAGCCCAGTGCCAAAGGGCCAGTGGTTGTGGGCTGCATAATAATAGATGAGGGTGGGCAGTGACAGCACATACAAGGTGTCCGACAATGCCAAGTGGAACATGTAGGTGGCTGTTGCATCCCAGGGTCGGAGGCGGAAGAGGAAGAGCCAGAGGGTTGGGGCATTCAGGCCCAGGCCCAGTACGAAGACAACTGTATAGCTCACAGGCAGCAGGATGAACTTAAACTCCTCATCAAACCAGCAGTCCAGCTCCACTTCATTGCTGCCTGGGTCTGGGCTGGAGACTAGGGAGTTGAGTAGTGAAGACTGTGCACTGGCCATGGCCCCCTTAGAGATAGAAAGGTGAGAAGTGAGGGTGACTTAATTTTCCTGGCCCCCAGCCCTGACTAGGGGCAAATATGTAGAGCACAAGGAGGGCAATGGTTAAAGTATTAGGGAGGGCTACAGCAGTACATCCTGGCTCAGCCTGCCACCTACCTGAACTCCTTTGGTCAAACCCAGAAGTTGTGGGAAACAGGCAATCCTGGGACTTAGAAGAGCAGTCAGTGGGTTTGGGTTGTTCTTATACTGCAGCTGACTCCGTCCTTCAGAGCCTGGCTAACTGAAGAGGGTGGAGGCCTACCAGGACCATCCAAAGTGAGAAGATACTCAGACCCAAATTGTCTACTAACTCCCTGCAACAGCTCTGTCACTGTGAAGAGAAGTGTCTCTCCATAAGGTGTCTTCCCTTCTCCTCTCATCCTAGTTCCTGTGTCTCCATAATACATTTACTACTAATGCTTTTCCCTGCCTGCCCAGGACCTCCATCACCACCCTTGCCCAAGAACCTTGACATGTCACCTACCTGGTCCCCTTCAAGCTGAGCCAAGCTGATTCTGACAATCTTCCCTTTGACAGGTAGAGGGCATATCCAAGGGGTGGGGCTGGAGGCAGGGCCTGTCCCTCCTCCCTTCTCTGAGAGATTGTCAAAACTGGAAATGTCCTTAGAGATTATTTAGTCCAATCCACTCATTGTACAGATTAGAAAACTGGGGCCCAGCTAAATTATTATTTAACAGTTTTTCTTAAAATGCATTTTACTGAAATATAATTTATGTACAGTGAAATACACAAAACTGAAGTGACATGGGTCAATGCATTTTTTTTTTTTTTTTTTTTGCAGTGTTCCCTCCTCTCCCCTCTCACCCCTGGCAACCAACAAAGAAAGTTTCCCTCCATATATAAACCTTTCCACGACCCTCCACAACAACGAACTACTACTATATTTGTCCTTTTGTGACTGACTTATTTCACTCAGCATAATGTCCTCCAAGTTCATCCATATTATGCAGTATTTTGCAGACTCTACATTATTCTTTAGTGCTGCATAGCCTTCCAGTATGTGTATGTACCACAGTTTGGTCATCCGCTCTTCTGCTGATGGGTACGTAGGTTGTTTCCATCTTTTTGCTATTGTAAATAGTCCTGTGATGCACATGAGCGTGCATGTATCTGTTCCTATCCTGGCTCTCACCTCTCTAGGATATATAACTAATAATGGGATTGCTGGGTCAAATGATATCTCCAATTCCAACTTTCTAAGGAATTGCCATATTTTTTTCCACAGTGGTTGTGTCATTTCACACAAGCAGTGTATTAGAGTTCCCCTCTCTCCACATCCCCACCAACATTTGTTATTTTCTGTCTCATTGAACCTTGCTATCAGTGCTGGGGTGAGATGGTATATATCATTATTGTATTGATTTACATCTCTCTGATGGCCAATGATTGTGAGCATCTTTTCATGTATTAGCTGACTTCCTGAATATCCTCCTTGGTGAAGTGTCTATTCATGTCTTTTGCCCATTTTTTAATGGGATTGTTAATTCCTTTGGTGTTGAGGCATTGGA